GTTGATTTTATATGTTTTTTAATTACTAAAATGTAATTAAAATGGAATCCAGAAAAAAAAATTATTTGAGGAAAAAATGGAATTTGGGGAAAATAAAACTAATTTAATAGGCAACAAAGATTGAATGAATTGTCTGTCTGTCTCGTCACTGAAAGGAGGATTCTCTCTAAATCAACTTCCAGGAACTGTCTTACACACACACACACATCCGGGAGGTCAGGATGGTTAACTAGTCACTTAGTCAGGTCAGCGCAGAGTTTATTTTTTGCCTAATTACTTGAATAATGAAGCCTAATTATACAGGGCTTCTATCGAGACAAACCACTGACTAGGTGATTTTTAACTATGTTTTGCATTTACACAGAATGCATTGGGTTTCTGATGCAGTTTTATCTTTGCGTGCTGTGAAGTTCACGTGTGATTCAGGATCAGATGAGCTGCTGATTCTCACAGAGTTTAGGAATGTGCAGCATCACGCTCGCCGTATCCCATGATGCCGCTGACGGACAATGACGACCCTTCATCACGCCGCGCACCACCAAACGCCTCAATGAGAGCCATTGTAGACACATGTGTGTATGTGTGTGTGTGTGTGTGTGTGTGTGCATGTGATCTCATCAGGGGTTCTCTTCTGCCACTGTCCTCTTTCATTCTCCATCATGTTTTGCTGATGAGTTTTCTGATTATGAATGACGTATGAAAACACTGATGATTACAAATGAGTGAATATTGCTGCAGGTCTTATTAGTGCTGCACAATATATCAAATATTAACTAGATAGTGACGTTTGTAGACCAATAGACTAATTGGTCTACAAACGTCACTATAGTTTAGTTTACGAAACTGTTTAGAAAAATGTAGGATTTAAATATTTTTAAGGTTTTCAGTTGGAAGCAGTTTTTAGTCTTAAAAAAATCTAAACTTATTCTCACCAGCCACCCTACCACCTTCCCTCTAGATAGGCCTGGGCGATAAAACGGTATCGATATTAGTCGAATTTAAAATAAACATTTGCAATGTTAGGTGTGCGTCAGGGAGCGTCATCAGTGGCACGCAAAATGCAGTGATGATGATGTTAGTGACGTTGTTGCATTTTAATGTTTTGTTAGTCTAGCCCACGAGACGCGCCGCTGCTGCGTTATTCATTCAAAATATTAGAGAAATATAGAAGCTCAATGCGGAGAAGATCTTGATTAGGTGAAAACCGAAACAAAGCCATTCACACAGAACGCATATTCAGCGCATTTTATTAGTCAGACAAATATGACTGCTGCACTCGTGTCTCACACAAGAGACGTAGCCATGCAAAGTTAAAACAGTTTAAACTTTTAGAAACCTCGTCACGAATTTGTGGAGGTTTATTCCTTTTCACTGCGTCTCATATGTTTTAAATGCAATCTGTGTGATGGGCGATTCAGCTCTTTGGATTAACCAATGCATACAGGTGCATCTCAATAAATTAGAATGTCGTGGAAAAGTTAATTTATTTCAGTAATTCAACTCAAATTGTGAAACTCGTGTATTAAATAAATTCAATGCA